GATGTCTAGCGTAATGGGTCATTTATTTATTTTTTTATTTTTTTATTTAAGTTTTGCTGGAGAAATGAAATATTAGAAACTCAAGTTGCATTTGTTCAAGATGTGATACATAAAATTCGTTCCCTGCGTTCCGATTATGATTTAGGAAAAAAACAAATTCCTGGTGAGTTCCTATTTAATGTAAAATTAATCTAACTATTTTATTTAAATTATATACTAATGTACAGATTTTAATATAATTGTAATATTAAGTTTAAATGTTAATTTGAATTGATAAATATTGTTTTCTTGCATGTCACAGACATTTTTTACCTGAACCAGTCACAAACATTAAATGATGAATTTTTTCAATTAATATTAAAAAATAGAGGTATATTATAAAATTACCAAAAATATTCAGATTATTCTCTATCACTTAAAACAATATCATCTACTAATACTATTTTAAAAATAGTTGATGCAATGATTGTCAGTTTGTCATTCTAAGACTCAAATTATGGTCAAATATACATAAATTTTTATAACTGGTTTAATTCAAATAAGTATAGCCATCTCTCATACTCATGTGTCTCACTATGGACTTAGCCAAATCTTTGATAAGCACGAAAAACTCTGTTAGGATGAAAAGAAATAGATTTTAATTGCAGTAAAATAATTTAGTTGTGTGCTATCAAAACTTTTATTTTTAGTTTTAATAAAAATAAAAATTTATTGAAAATTCATTATTGGATGAAAAATAATGTGGAAGAAAATATAAATGAAATTTATATACAATTTATTATATATCTTACTGTGAATGACCAATATCTGGCGAATGTTGAGATTCTCCAGTGAATGTCAGCATTTACACAGTCATTTTGTGTATGTACGAAATATTTGCTAAATATCATTATTTCTCACTTACACCGGAAAATGTAGACATTCAGCATGCACTGATGGTGAATGTTGAATAAAAATATTTTTGTTATGTTAAGACAAAAATGCAACTTTTTAATATGTCAAAATAGGAGAAAGCTTAAGTAATAAGTAAGAAAGCACATGTAAATAAACTGTTAAACCTAAAACGAATGGTACATTCTACAATTCATTAAAGAAAATAATACAATAA